ATGTCAGGAACCACAGTGGGTGTGTGCGTGTGTGTTTATGTGTTTGTCCTCACCATTCCTGCCTCCACCTCCCCTTCTTCACTCTCTCCCCACAATCCACGTCTACTGAATTGAATGGAGAGGACTGAGGTTCATGGGAGACTTCCCCAAAACAATCAACACCCACCACCTTCCTACCAAAATTGAACAAGGACTAGCTTTTGATTCTCTTTTTAGGAAAGGAAAATAGGTCACCACGCAAACAGGCCCAAACAGCCTCTCCTGTTCAAGAAAACGCTGTCTGGTGCTGGACATGAGCGCTGGAGAACTTTGAGGAGGGGGCGGAAGTAGGGAAAGAGACTGAAGGGTTCTTGGGGGTGGCAGGTTTAGAAAGCAGTGAGTGAATGCGGGAGGGGAGGCTTCAAATTCCCCAAACCTCAGTGCTCACCTGAGTATCTGAGCCCCTTTGAAAGCCAGTGGTGAGTTCAGGACAAATCAAAGGAAATCCTACTGGCAGGAAGATGAACAGAGTTTAGGAGAGTCAGTGGTGACTCTCCCTGAGAGAATGGTGCCTGAAGGAGACACCAGGGAGCCACCTGAACTTCTGAACATTTCAGAGCAGTGCTATCCAATAGAAATATAATGTGAACCACATGTGTAATTTTAAACTTTCTAGTTGTCACATTAAAAAATATAAAAAGAGTCCAGGTGCAGTGGCTCATGCCAGTAATTCCAGCATTTTGGGAGGCTGAGGTGGGAGGATTGCTTGAGCCCGGGAGTTCAAGACCAGCCTAGACAACATAGCAAGATCCCGTCTCTACAAAAAATTTAAAAATTAGCCAGGCATGGTGGCATGTGCCTGTAGTCGTAGCTACTTGGGAGGCTAAGGAAAGAGGATTGCTTGAGCCTAGGAGTTCGAGGTTCCAGTGTGCTATTATCATGCCACTACACACCAGCCTGGGCCATAGAGCAAGATCCCATTTCTTAAAAAAAAAAGCAAAAAGGTGAAATTAATTTGAATAATATATATCTACTATATCTAAAGTATTACCATTTCAACATGTAATTTATATAAAAATATAAAAATGAACTATTTTACATGTTTTTCGATCTAAGTCTTCAAATTTTAGTGTTTATAGTAACAGCGCATGTCAATTTGGACAATAAATTTTCATCAAAAACAGTCTGTATTTAGATTTCATAAAATTTCCGGTTGAAAAAGTAGATTCACATTCCTCAGTTGTTTCAAACATCCCTAAAAGTTTCCCCTAAACTTAATCAAACATCAGTTTTTAAATGTATTTAAAAATTAAATAATGTTAAACCCAGTTCCTAAGTATTCCTAGTGACGTTTCAAGTACTTAATAGCCACATGTGGTTACTGGCTACTGCAGTAACAGTGCAGTTCTGGAGAGATCTGAAGTGGCTCATTGCCCACTTCCTGTTCCCCTCGGCCTGGCCCTGGGCTGGACAGATGGGGTGTCTGATCAGAGCTCAACGCTCACGTTCCTAAGTTTAACAATCTAGCTGCCGTGGTTCTCTTAAGAATCCAGCCTTCTTCCTACCCCTGGGTCACACTGGGTCACAATCTCAGGGCAGGAGAAGGCTATTTCGCCTGCTGTTGAAGCTGCTTGAGGGCTCCTCAGCTATGTAACTCATGGATGAAGGGGCACTTCATTGGCTTGATGGGACTGCCTCGGCTCTTCCCTGTGCAATAGTATGGCTCGTTTTAGAACCTTTCCATTTTTAAAGCTCATTGCATAGAGATGGAAGATTGACAAATTTCCTAGAGACTTTAAGCTACTCCTTAAATTAGAAAAAATTTAAAAATCAAATGGCTGTCAGGAATGTCTGTTGCATTGCTTGTTCCCGGTAAATGCTTACTGGTAAATTATTATTACTTCTAACTATACCAGAGGGGTATCCAACAATGGCCTTCTTAACTGGGGAAAAATGGAATGATTTTTGTGGTTAAAGCTGTTTTACATTTCTGTACATTATAATTAGGGAAAAATAAAGTCTATTGGTTTGTAAGTTAGTGAGGTTCCACAGACTATCTTTTTCTTCTACTCACTTTAAAAAGTTACTATTTAACTAGGAAGGAATTTGTTTTTTAAAGTGTATGTGAAAAAGTTATATAAGTGTACAAATATATACGTAAAGAATTTCTAAAGAATCTACTTGTAAAACATTCTTTAGAGTTTTTACATCCTGTGAAAAATTTTAAAATGAAAATATTCATAAAATGCATACGCATGCTTTTTGACTAAAGATTTTTTTATAATTTCCACAAGGTGGCACTAAAATCTAATGAAAACTCCAATCTTTGGTCTGGTCTCTGAGGAGTGGGGAGTGATTTACAGAAGATACTGGGAAAAAAAACAACCAAATAAATTAGGTTGAAGATTGGACATAGCTTAATAGCCTCCTTTTGTCTGAAAGGTAATTTTCCTCTCTCACTGTTGTGGGTATATTATATCAAACAATGAATCTATATGTTAATAAAATTAATTATTAAAATGACTTGTTCTTATAGAAGAATTGTATTTTATTCTTGTCTTTCAGTGGAAGTACATTGTGAAGGGTGAGGGAGAGGGGAAAGAATTGTATGGCATATCACCTAGTTTGGAAAAGTTTACCCTGTCAATGGGGCAGTCTTGGAAACAGCCAGTCTCTGCAAAGCTTGTTCAAGTATCCTGGGGGAAAAAAAAACAGAAAAATGAATACCATGAAAAGAAGTTGCTGCAGAACACAGATTTTTCTATTTGTTTACTTTGGCATATTTACCAACTGCATATTTTTAGAAATTATTGCGATATTGACATTTGAACTTAGAACACCTCATACAATATGTCTGGAAATCGGGAAATGAGAGAATTTAATCCCTTTTCCTGATTCTTTGTTTTTAAGTTTTTAAAAAAAATACATGGTAGAAAGCTTTAATTGTTTTATATTTTCTTAATATTTGAAGTTTAAGGACATAGCCAAGATTCCCAGGCTATATTAAGACCAAGGAAAGCAGTGTTAACAATACAGCTATAAAAGGTTTTGACTAAAAGAGGAAAAACTGGTGTAGATAAGATTTTTCAGAATAGGCTAACTAAAAAAAAAAAATTAAAAAAAAATTTCCAGATTGGAGTCTTAAACCAATGACCAAAAAAACTTTACTTCCTGACAGATTAGTTCCTTAGATCTGGAAAACAAAAACAAACCAACAAAAAGCTGGGCATTTAGTGGAGTTAATTCAGTGTGAGGGAAGCACGGTGCTTCTGGTCATTTGAATGGGATGTTCCCTGTAGGATGGGGGTGAGCAGCACTACTGTCTTATTTGACCTGATTGCATCGTTGGAGCCATATGGAGCCCTAGATCTTAACATACGAATTGTATGTGAAAACACCGGGGCTCCTCACGGCTGGCTGCATGGGTTTGGTTGGATGATCGTTAAAGCAGAGTCTGGAGTTGAGGTAAGCAACCCTCAGAAAGTTCCAACTGAGTTCCTGAGCATTTGGGTTAATTCTCCACGGCCCTTTAGTGATTCTTGTAAAGGCCCAGGCATTGTGCTGAGTCTTCAAAATGCTGAGATAAGACAAAACCCCGGCCTGCCAACAACTCATAGTCCAGAGACCCAGACAGGTATGAGGCAATAACCTCAATGTGGTGTGTTGTCCTCTCCTTTGCTGAAAAACCAACATGCATCCCATTCCCGCTACAATGGATGGATGTAGCCCAACCTGTTCAGGTGGTAGTTAGCCCCAACCTGAGTTTCAACTCCAAGTGCAGCACTCTACACTATTCCCTATTCCTAGAGGGAATAGCCCCACTCTTTCCCCCCTCTCTGCTTGTGTTCAAACTGCTCCTCCTTCCTGGGAGGCCCTTTCTGACTCCTCCTTCCTCCATCTTCTGTCCACTGAAATTGCAGACTTAGGCCCTTCTAGACCAGAGGTAGTGTCACTTCCTGCAGGATCCAAGGGCTAGATGAATTAAGTCAGGAGACTAGGAATCTAGCACCCTACCATACACTAACTTGCTGTGTCCCCACCCACAAGCCACCCCTCCGCCGTTTCGCTGCCTCAAGCTTTTTCATCTGCTCCTGGGGTTCGGGGTGGTTGGATTCCATTGTACTATTATATTTATCTCAGACAGTCCTCTGGTTTAATGACCAGGATCAGAATTAATCATGCAAAGCAGGACCAAGGCTGCCTTTCCCTGCCTGGTAACTTCTTCCACGTGGACTAGGCTCGACCTTCCCTTTTAATTGTCCTGAAGCTCGGCCACTTAGCGCTCCTTCCCTTAATCTTCACCTAGAGACCCAGGCCAGGGCTCGGGAAAGGTGGGGGGCGGCGGTCCTTGGAAGAGCCTGGAGGCTTAGCCCAGGCCCTCTCAGTTGTCAGCCTGTCGCCTCCCGGGTCCAAACCTACGGCTGACGTAGGGCGAGTACCGGGGTGGGAGACTTAGACCACAGGCGGAACGGCCTCCAAAAGAAAGGAAAAAACCTTCCTGCTTGGAAACAAAAGAGTGTGTGTGTGTGTGTGTGTGTGTGTGCGAGTCTGTGTCTGTGGCTATTTATTTAAAAACAAAACCACGTTAAAGGAGCCGCCCTTCCTCCACCGGCCCGACCACCCGCCGGGAGTTCGCAGGGAAGAGCGCCAAGTCTGAATCGGGGGAGTCGCCAACGCCCCACCGAGTGCCGCCAGTCTCGGACCCGCTCACCCACACCCTGCGGGCTCCAGACAGCCAGCTCCCCGGCGCTGCGCGCAGAAGCTGCGGCGAAGGCGGGGACCCTGGTGCCGCCAAAGCCCCGCAGCTCCAGCCCCGGCGCAGACTCCCCTGCCACCGCCTATCCCAGCCCGGCGGCCTAGGCCGTCAATCAAGCTGGCCTGGCCCCGCCTTCGGGCTGCAGCGGGAGGCCAATCAGAGCCGAGCTCCGCAGCGATGAGCTCAGCCGGCTCGCTTCCCATTGGGCGGCTATATTAAGAAAGTGGCCGGACTCTTTAAATAGCGGGCGCTAGGGCCGCAGCCCTCATCTGCCACCGCAGTCTGGCTGTCGTCACCTCCTCTCCTCCTGTATGCTTGGTGAGGCCTAGGGAGACCGGCGGGGAGCTAGGCCGAGTCCGCAGCCCGGGCCACCGTTGCGCACAAAGCCACCCACCCCGGCTCAGGGCGAGCAGAGCGGCCACCGCCCGGGAGCAGCGCGGCGAGACGCACGGTGCGCCCTATGCCCCCGCGCCCCCACCGCCCCCGCCGCGGCAGCAGGAGCGCACCGAGAGAACGCGCCACCGTGGGGCCCCGGTGCAGCTAGCGACCCTCGCCCCCAGAGCGCAGCCCGAGGTGAGCAGTGAGCGGCGAGCGGGACGGCAGCGAGGCGTTCGCGGGCCCCCTCCTGCTGCCCGGGCCCGGCCCGCTCATGGCGGCCATCCGCAAGAAGCTGGTGGTGGTGGGCGACGGCGCGTGTGGCAAGACGTGCCTGCTGATCGTGTTCAGTAAGGACGAGTTCCCCGAGGTGTACGTGCCCACCGTCTTCGAGAACTATGTGGCGGACATCGAGGTGGACGGCAAGCAGGTGGAGCTGGCGCTGTGGGATACGGCGGGCCAGGAGGACTACGACCGCCTGCGGCCGCTCTCCTACCCAGACACCGACGTCATCCTCATGTGCTTCTCGGTGGACAGCCCGGACTCGCTGGAGAACATCCCCGAGAAGTGGGTACCCGAGGTGAAGCACTTCTGCCCCAACGTGCCCATCATCCTGGTGGCCAACAAGAAAGACCTGCGCAGCGACGAGCACGTCCGCACAGAGCTGGCCCGCATGAAGCAGGAACCCGTGCGCACGGATGACGGCCGCGCCATGGCCGTGCGCATCCAAGCCTACGACTACCTCGAGTGCTCGGCCAAGACCAAGGAGGGCGTGCGCGAGGTCTTCGAGACGGCCACGCGCGCCGCGCTGCAGAAGCGCTACGGCTCCCAGAACGGCTGCATCAACTGCTGCAAGGTGCTATGAGGGCAGCGCCCGCCCCGCCTGCCCCTGCCGGCGCGGCTCCCCTCCTGGGCCCGTCCCCCACGAGCCCAGAGAAGGGGAGACCCGTGTCCGCTAAGGACCCTACCGGACTGCCTGGCATCTGCTGGCGGCTCTGGCTCGCTCCGAATCGGCCTGAGCACCGGGCGCCTGCTTCCCAGTGTCTGTGTGCGTCCAGCTGTGTTGCATAGGCCCGGGCGCCCCGCTGAGTGCCAAGGGTCCCCTGAGCATGCTTTTCTGAAGAGTCAGGCCTCAGAGTGTGTGGCTGTGTGTCTGTTCGACTCCCTTCGCCCCATTTACACCCCGCCCCCACCTCTGGTCCCCGGGGGCGAGATTGGCGCCCGAGTGTGGCCGCGCCCCATCAGATGTTCGCCCTTAACCAGCCAGCGCCTGCTATCCCTTGTCTGTAACATAGACCCCGGGAACTGCGGGAGGGGAGGGCTGGGAGGATGGGGGGATGTTATATAAATATAGATATAATTTTATTTTCGGAGGTAAGATGATGTTATTTAATGGTGGTGGTGGGTGGAGTGACCAGGGCGCTAAAACAGCTCTGGCCCTGGCCGGGTCAGGCGCCCATCCAAGAAGGAACAGGACTTGGCCATCTTTCCAACTCCTGGGGAAGACATTTGCAACTGACTTGGGGCTGAGAGGACACAGCTTCCGGACACAGCGTCTCCTGCGGGCCAGCCCCGGGCGAAGCCCTCACCAGCCACCGGCGGGAGGAGAGAGGGTGCACTGCGGGCTTGTTGTTGCCATAAGCGAACTTTGTGCCTGTCCTACAAGTGAAAATTGTTTAGTCCAAGAAACTGATGTTATTTGATTTATTTAAAGGCTAAAACTTGGTTTTTCTTTTGGAAAAAAATTCTTTGCACAATTGTTTCATTGTTTGACACTTAATGCACTTGTCATTTGCATAAGACAGTAGCATTCTGACCACACTTGTACGCTGTAACCTCATCCACTTGTGATGTTTTTAAAAAAATGTTGATGACTTTTAAAAAACAAGGATAGGGGAAAAAAAACCCACTAATTTTTGCTTTGTTTTCTTGAAAAAGGCAGCAACACTGTTTTGCGATTTTATTTGTGCAGGTTATGCACACTATTTTGATAAAGGGCAGTAACAAGTATTGGGGCCTATTTAAAACTTCTTTTTTTTTTTCACAAGGCAGTGTCTAAAGCTATGTGAAGTTTTCTCTGCATCTCTGTACAGAGAATAAACCTGTCCCTATTTTCTTCCCCTTCCCTCCCGCCCAGTGGTACTTCTACTAAATTGTTGTCTTGTTTTTTATTTTTTAAATAAACTGACAAATGACAAAGTGGTGAGCTTATGATGTTTACATAAAAGTTCTATAAGCTGTGTATACAGTTTTTTATGTAAAATATTAAAAGACTATGATGATGACATTTATAAAATGGCTCCTGTGGTTTAACAGTGTGTAAAAGTATCCTTGTGAATTTGGGACAAGGGAAGAATTCTTACTGGGATCCTTGCCACCAACTCCATTTCCTTTGTGAGGATGAGGTCTTTTGGGGGCATGTGTGGGGATTGGCGGAGTTGGGTGACTGAGGGAGAGCAGGTTCCTGTCACCTTCCTAGAGGAAAATGATTGGGTTACCCAGACAACAGTGCAAAAATCTTTGACTTAATATATACTCAGTCCTATTAGGTGGGGCTGATTTTATTTTGTCTGTATGTCTTAAAAACACTTGTGTCTAAGTCTATTATGGGGTTTTGCTTATTCTTTGAAACTTGAAAAGTTGTCATTTGTGCATTTTAAATCTAGAAAACGTTTTTTGCTAATCACTGGTGTGGGGCCAGGCTCTCCCTCAGGAAGGCTGGTTACTGGGTTTCCTTCAGAACATCAGGGGTTACACAGTATCCCAGGAGACTGTAGGTGGTTATCTTTGGGACTGGAACTCCTGAGTGGAAGTTGGGGGGAGTTCAGATAAGGAGGTCATTTTTCTTTTACTATCCAATTTTCACCTGCTGAGGAACAGAACATAAAGTGCTTTATTCTAAGTATGGAGAAGGGCCCTATTATGGACAGAACACTGGATGTTTGGGGTTGTTTAAAGATGGAGCAGCCACATTTGAGGATTCAAGCATGATGAGCTCTAATTGTAGACACTGCCTTGCTGCAGTGGTTCTTAGAACTAGACAGGCTGATTTATACTTGGAGACCACAGTAAAATCCTGCTGCAGGTGTGACGGCTGAAACCTGCCAGGGCTCAGCAGCTTGCAGGGAAGGTAACAGACAGTGCCAACCTTCTCCAACTACCTAAGAAGGTGGTTTTTGTTTTTGAATCAGCACTTTCTGGGTTTCTAGCACTTAGTTGCCACCTTCTCCTCCCCCTTCCTCCCCACACCCAGGGCAGAGGCAGAGAAAATCTCTTTTGAAGTTGTTTTGCTTCAAAGCCTGAGGCTTTGGTTTCCCAGTCTTCCCCCAGACTCCTAAGAGCTTTTGTTGAGTGGAGAAAACCTGGTCGGTGGTGACCTTTCACCCACTTAAATGCTGGCAGTAACTGGGCCTCCTGCTCAGCTGGACAGGCGCATTGGTCAACAGGGGGGATTGTTTGGGCTCCTTCCTCCAGGAGCAGAGCAGGAGAGGGTGGCTTCTTTAAGCAACTGCCTCACTCCTTCCTGGGCCCCTAGGCCACTCACAGCCTACTTTTTCTTTTTCATTTTAAAGACAAGACTTCCCATTGAAAACCAGAATGTTTATTTGCAGGTTTTACAGCTAGCAAATCCTTTGGTACCAGGGACTGCAGGATCTGTGGGGGAAGAGCTCAGACTTGGGCTGAATGCCCAGGACTCAGCTTTGCAACCAGCCAAGAGCCTGGAGACCCAACCCCCTGAAAGGGCCTTTTCAGGGTTTCCTGCCTGCTCAAATCTGCCTGGTACCTAGACCTGTCTGTTTCTTATATTTTGGGGAGACAAACACTCAGATGACACATGGCGGCCTGAGTTATGCTTGTTTTAAAATGCGTGGCATTTAATAATCCTGCCGGAACACACTCTTCTTGCTGCATTAGGATCCAACTGGAAAATATAAAGACGAATTGCTGTAGGCTGGAAAATCAATTAGGAAAAAGAGGTAAAACATCTGGTGTTACTCGTAGAATATGAAAATTCATTTTGCACATTTAAAATAAATGTGCTGAGTTCATTTAATTGCCTGTTGAACTGTTTTGTGGAAAATAGTGGGACGTTTCATTGATCCTGGGCATTTTATAGCAAGGGCATTGTCTTGGGTTCTCCTTTAATCTTAATCTTAAATCAATCTGGATTGTATTTCTAACGTCTTTTCCACATGTGTTTCAGGAGACCCTGAACTGTGAACTGTGGTTTTCTTTCTTTTTTTTTTTATTTCAGAATATTACGGGGGTACAAATATTTTGGTTACATGGATTGCTTTTGTACTGCTTGAGTCAAAGTTATAAGTGTGCCCATCACCCAGATAGTGTACACTGTACCTGTTAGGTATAATTTCACCTATCTCCTTGAACTGTGGTTTTTAAACTCAAGTGTGCATTAGAATCAGGTGGAGGGTGGGTTAAAACACAGATTGCTGGGCCTAACCCCAGAGTTTTTGATCCAGTAAGTCTCAGGTGGGGTTCAAGAATTTGAATTTCTATGGGGGAGGTGGGCAAGGGCAACATAACCTAAACATTTGTACCCCCATAGTATGCAGAAATAAAATAAATAAATAAGAATTTGAATTTCTAACAGGGTCCTAAATGATGTTGATGCTGCTGATTTGGAGACCACACTTTGAGAACCACTGGCTTGGAATGAGGGAGAGGCCTTATCAATGTGCAGAGGGAGGTGGTTTCCTATGAAAATAGATCAAATTCCATGGACTCACAGGGTTGGCCCTGCAGTCTTGACTTCCATACCCCAGGGAGTATGGAGCTCCCAGAGAGCTTTCCTTTTAGGAAAACCCCACATAACCCCTATCTTCCTTTCCTCACATTCTTATACCAACAGAGGTTTAATGACCTTCTAGAGATTTAGTTCTGCCATTCCTGCATTCAGAATGCAACGGCATGCATTGGCACCTACTCTGAGCTTGATGAGATGGAAATACAAAAGCAATAAGACTCAGTCCTTGCCCTCCAGGAGCTCGTTCACAGCCTGGCGGGGCAGGCAGTTGCAGGAATGTGTTCACCAAGCCCTGGAATATGGCGTGCTCTGATGGAGGTTAGCCAAGGGCACAGCAGAAGCCCAGGACGGAAGTGCCTAGGTTTGCCTGGAACATTGGCGAAGGTGTCATAGAGGAGACATTTGAGCTGAGTCTTAAAGCAGGAGTGGGTGATGTGTAGACAGAAGAAATCTTGCGGGGTGGGGTAATTGGGCCATTAGTACACTGGTGATAATGTACGGTTTCATTTTGTTACTGTGGGGCCTGACCTCTGGGGAATAAAGCTCTCTTGGGTGAGAACTACTTTCTGCTTTTAGTCCCTCTAGCACGTATTTCTTCAGTCAAGAAAATATTACCCAGCCAAGTAAAACACAGCCTCTCCCTGTCCCTCCCTGTCCACAACACAGGGACCTACCTGGCAGGCCTGAAGCTTTCATTGTTTCCTCTGTGCCTTCCAGGGAGGTGGCACAAGGGTTTGCTTTGTGATCACCTACACCCTGGGAAACATACACCCTGGCCTCCAGGAGACTGTGGGACCACAAAGGGGCCTTGTACCCCAGCTCGTTGGGTCCTCACCATTGTATTTGGTCCATCTTCTGGCTAGGGGGAGAACCTGGGCTCGGAGGCTGCCCTGAACCCTCAGAGGCCCCTTTTTGGGCCTGGGAGATAAGAGCCTGGAGAACCCCAGTTCATTCCTTCCTGTTCATTCTTTTATTTATTTATTTTTAATACGTTCACTGAATCCTTATGCATGTTTACTCTTTTAGTCAACAAATATTTATTGTTGACTAAAAGACTCTGCGTCTCACACTATGCTAGGAGCCTGGGATACAGCATGCAAAGAAACAGGCATTGTCCTTCCCCTCGTAGAATTTAGAGCCTAGTGGTATGCCTAAACAAGTGATGATGATGATGGTAATAGCTAACATTTATTGACTATGCACCAGGCACTGTTCTAAGCCCTTTTTCTGTATTATTTTATTAAATCCTTATATTATTAATAGTTATCTTTTGCTGCATAACAAGTTATTCTAAAACTCAGTGGCTTAGAACAAAATGTATTACCTTACAGTTTCTGTGAGTCAGGAGTTGAGGCACAGTTTAGCTGGGTCCTCTGGCTCAGGATCTCTCAGGAAGCTCTGAGCAAGGTGTTGGCTGGGGCTGCATTTATCTCAAGGCTTACCTGGCGAAGAATCTGCTCCTGAGCTCACTCATGCAGCTGCTGGCAGGATTTAGTTCCTCCCTGGCTGAGGCTGCCTTCGGTTCCTTGCCATGTGGGCCTCTCCAGGGCAGCTTGCTTCCTCAGAGCGAGCAAGGAAGAAAGGTCAGGGAGAGTGTGAGCGAGGTAGAAGTCAGTCTTCTGTAACCCAGTCTCAGAAGTGACATCCCATCACTTCACTATATTTTATTTATTAGAAACTAGTAACTGGGTCCAGCCCACACTCAATGGGAGGGGATTGTACAAGGACATGAATACCAGATGGGGGACTCTTTGGGAGCTGTTTTATTTATTAGAGACAGGGTCTTGCTCTGTTGCCCAGGCTGGAGTGCAGTGTCCTGATGATAGCTCACTGCAACCTTGAACTCTTGGCCTCAAGAGATCCTCCTGCCTCAGCCTCCCAAGTATCTAGGACTATAGGCATATGCCACCACGCCTGACTAATTTTTTTATTTTTTGTAGAAACAGGGTCTTGCTGTGTTGCCCAGGCTGGTCTTGAACGCCTGGCCTTCAGTGATCCTCCTATCTTGGCCTCCCAAAGTGCTAGGATTTAGAGATGTGTGAGCCACTGTGCCCAGCTAGGGGCAATTTTAGAAGTAGCTGACCACAATCTCTGCAACAACTCTGAGGCGAGCACCAGAAGAAACTGAGCCACAGAGAGGTTGCTCATGGTCAAGGTTGCAACTTGCTCATGGTCACAAAACTCATACAGATTCGAACGCAGGTAGTTTGCTTCCAGGACAACAATCTCATATGTATGGTGAGATTCTGATTTGAGAAAGGTCACACTGACTGCAGTGTGGAGGATGAATTGGAGGAGGGAAGACCAGAGGCAGGAAGACCAATGAAGAAGACTCTTCCCTGGCCCCGGTGGAGATGAGAGGTCCTGAGGCATGGTGTGGACGTGGGAAGGAGGTGGCAGAGTGGAAGGACATTTAGGAGGTAGAAGGTGTGTGGATCTGAGTAGGAGGCACCACGATGACCCCCAGGGCTCTGGCCTGGGTGACTTGGAGGCTGCTGCTGCCAGTCTGTAAGGTAAGAAGAAGCAGAAGA